TACTACCTCAGCAACCTTTCACGTTAATAACTTACATTCATTCAAATAAATTAACATAAACTCGACATACGATACAAACATAAAAGTTTTGTCACTTTCATTTCTTGAAAATACTCGATATTCTTCGGGGAAGGGTCGAACTTACTCTTAATAAGTTACTTTTTCTCTTAGACGTTACACCAGAGTAGTAAATGATAATATTTTAATATAAAAATAAACTTATGAGAATTGAAAGAATCTTAGAAAATCTTAGAAACAAATAAATTTGAGTGGTTAAGTGGAAAATAATTAATTCTGTACATCATTTATATGGTGATGATTTGGAATTTACACTTAATTATGCTATTCCTTGTTATAAATATTAAACTTGATGAATGATGACAATGATTTTTAACAAAATGCCTGTAGGTTTCTTTTTGATTATTTTGGGTCCAAATGTTAAATATTACAAAAAAAGCATACAAAATTTTTGTTCGGAGTCGATACAAAAAAACCTTCAAGCTTTAGGAGAAAAAATTCTGGAATTAGGTAATATCAGCGAGAATCATAGCGGACAATTGGAGGAAGGCGAATCGGCGTGGGTGTGGGCAGATGTCTTGTTCTATTTGACCTCATACACTTGTCCAGAGTTAAAAGTTAATTGAGACACCTAATTAAGCCCTTCATCCTCCCTCGTCTAGACACTTCCTCCATTTTATTAATAAAATTACGACCTCTAAAATTTCTTTTGATTTACAACATTTTAACCCAGGGGGACATGCCGGAGGAAGTCATAAAAGGCGAAAAATTATAAATTGTTTTACTGTAAATGGACGATTCTCTGCCTAATTAGGAACGTTTGTATATTCCCAGATAAACAAAAGCTTTAATTAATTATTAATTTTTTAAAATATTTACCCTCTGCATATTTAAGAAAATGAATAGGCTTATTATGAAATAACAAGATTGTATAATGCATCATTAGTATAGTTTATGATTTTATTATTTCCTTAAAAACGTGTACGCTCTAAATAATTTAAATTTCTTGAAGCACGCTAATCAAAAAACAAATTATTCATAACTGTAAAACTGTTAGTTAAAACTAAAGTACAACAGTCTCCGCAATGCAGAAATCTCGTTAATTCTTTTACCCACCAGTACATGGCACTTACAACAGTATTAGGCAACTTACGTCAAGTATCAGTTGGGGGGAAAAATCAAGGAAACAGACCTTCCAAAGAAGCAGTAAAGAAGTATTTAGCCTATGAATAACTCAAAACGAACTTGTACTCAAATTCAATCTGATGTTGATGCAATAAAGACATGGTCTCCATTCAATCTGTACATACAATTAAAAATTTAAGATGGATGTCACGTCAGACAGTCATGCAACCAGCAGGGCAATGAAGTCGAACTCTCAAAAATGTTACATTCGAAAGAACTTCACCCCTTTGGGGTCAAGGAAGTGTCAACGTTATAATACTTGTCCAGTGGAGGCTACAAGGGATGAAATTCGACTCGAGTGAGCCAAATGGTAAGTTTTAATTCATCTTTAATCTGAGGATCAGTGAGGTAAAAGGGGAGTGAAGACGCTACGAGGTGCGGACCTAATGAGCTTTCGAAGTAGAGGGTAGCGAACTAAGGGGGAGTGAAGATTTTGGCAACAGGTAAATACCTCATTGTGGACTTGGAGAGGGGCGAGGGATAGGGCACGTGTAGTTTAGGTGGGGTGGATACACCTGCTCAGTCGGCATTCAACCATCCGTACACCAACATTGCACCAATCAATCAGTCTCACGCCTGGTATAGCACTTATGTTACTCATGAGTTCCTCCTGCTGCATCCGTACACATCAGGTAAGCCATCGATCCCACAGATGGATTTTTTTCTCTCGCAGGCTTGCAGTTTTCCGGGTCAGCGGGGGGAGGATCGCCGGGGCAAAGGTCGGCGATAATCAATTTTATCGATTTTTCGGTTTTGCAACGTTTCGCTGCTGCGTAAGGAGGAATTGCTTGGAACCGGTTGGCATTCCTTCGGGAAAGGAGCTAGTGCCAAGGTTATATCCCACTCTCGGGTTTAGGACAGACTGCGCGGCGCCCCCACCCCCTCCTCGACCACTACAGTCGACTGTTCAAAACATTTTTTCCCCCTCGGGGATCTTATAAATTTAGCTTGTTGGATTAAGCAAGTGTATTAACTTAAAGACGCGAATCCTGTACGCTCGAAGAACGGGTTGTGTCTAGTGGATATCCCAATATTTCCCACCTACTTGCATCACATATCGGTGAGTCTGACTGAAATTGGCAGATATAATAGAAAATTTTTCAAATTTTATCTCAATTAAAAACTCCTATTTTTATCAATTTTAATTATATTTATACAACAAAACAAAAAACCATACATTTTTAAATTTTTGAAAATTTGATTAGCATTATCAATGTCAATCAAAGTCTTGAAGCCAAACCATTTCTATGAAGACATTTTAACTTATCAGGAAAAATAGTTTAAGTTTATTTAAACATTTTTATATAATACATTTAATTATTTATATACATATAAAGTAAACTAAAGTTCAAAGGCTGCTTCTACTGCTAAGTGTAACAAGTTAATTATAAAAATAAGTTTGAAGTGTGTATTTTATAAATACAAATTTTAATTTTAAAGGTAATAATTGCAATTTTCTTATAAAGATTCTTCAGTTTGCCGTTTCCGATCATTTTTAATCAACATATCCTAGCTGATATATTCTGTAAGGTGCGTTTCAGCTCCTCATCTTCACTGTGTCTCTGTTTGAGAGTTATTATATCGTCTATTTCACAGAAACGACCAAATTGCAAGTTCATCATCTCGCAGACTTGTGAGAAGCCACAAGCCTCACAATCTTGTGTTTATTAAGGGATTTGCTTTCATAAGAAGCATTACTGCTTAAAAAGTTCAGACATACAGACGTCACTGTGTTTGATTCCTCTTTGCAGTCTTGTAATTGCGCTTTGATTTTGTGTCAAGGCAGAAGTCTTTAAATGATCCTCAAAACCGGATCAACAGGGGAATTTTTTTTCTCTCTTGGCTTTGTTTAATATATTGAACGACCCGTTTATAAAAGAAAGACACTGCACCTCGCAGAATCATCCACATAATGATGTTTGTGCGCATCAATTAGCCTGAAGGTTATATGCTCCACACATATAGGGACATTGAACGCTATGAAAAAAAAATCATAAATGTAAACATACTCTGATCCGTTTTAGGATTAAAATTAATGAATTAAATGGAATGTTTACATTCTGAAAATTCAGTTGCTATTTTAAATAGTTTTATCGTTTAAAAACATCAACAGTCATCAAGGGGTTGATCAACTTAATAATAATCGCGTAAATGTTTTTTAATTTGGTTTATTTTAATTATAAATACTAGTTAAATATGATCGGTTTGCGTTATTTTTATTGTGATATGATTATTATTTTTATTAATTTATTTAATTACTGATAGTTTCCAGAGATTAATTGAACAATCATGTTTAATAATTGTAATTCCTTACACAATTTTCTCTTTGCACAGTATGCAAAGGATTTCTTATTAATATCACCTAATTAATTAATTATAGGGATAACGGCCTCATATTTAGAAGCCTGGCTTGTTTATTTTCCTTCCTTTAATTAGATTTAGGATGCAGGTCGAGAGGGTCGACTTTGTCCGTGGGCCTAATCGAGTTCAGGGTATTGAAAGGTGGTACACTGGATAACAGGACTGGTGCTTAATAATTAATAAACGTACCCGTTGGCAAAAACTTTCATCCGCCGACCGGGTCAACTGTTGTACGTCAATAGTGCCTTTCCATTTAAACTTTCCAAGGGGGGGGGGAGTCAACATGGATAATATTGCCATTTTACGATTTAAAAAAAAAAATCATACTGACCATTAATTGAGGAAGTTTATACATTACAGATTTCAAAGAGGGGTTTTTTTTAGTAGATATAGACCACAGGGCAAGGCATAATAGACTTGATTTTCATTAATTGTAACTATTGCAAAAAAAAAATGTATTTTTTTAAATAAATTGAGAGATGTTTTCTTACGGCCTGCGGGGTGACGAACATTTAGTTTGGCAGTTTTCGATATTTTGGTGAGCCTTTCCGCGCTGCTTGGTCGCGTGTCAGCTTCTCGTTATCTTCAGTGATGAAACTACAAGCCATATGATTATTTGGAGATCGTGAGGTGTGGTCTGGTGTGACGTAGGTCACTAAACATCACACATTTCTACAAGCTATATTTTCTACTGCTTTCATTTTTCCTTTTGGCCTAAAATTTCATTTCTGAATCAATTTAGCCGGAGAATTTAAGTTGTTTTTGGGCTAAAAGGCATCAGTAATCAATTTTGCAATTATGATTAAGTTTTGACAAAGGAGCATAGTTGATTTGGTCATACTGGTCATATCGTACCAACACAGCGTTGTGCTGTTCAATGAGTCGGAGCGTAATTAGGTTTATCGATTAAAGCGTTCCGGTTTTTAAGGGGTCGATCAATGTCTTTTTTTCTTGTTTCTCATTCAGGCACGAATTTGAACTCGGTCGTGTATCCGTCGCCCTTCTATAATAGAGCTGAACACTACGATTCCCCAATTTGCATAGAAATAAAAGTTTGAAGCCCCTTTAGAAAAGTCTTAAGAAGAAGAATTAATACTGTATGACAGGAGGTTATTGTGGGAGTATCCTAGGGTTATTTATGAGAGAGGACCTTTGGGTTCATTAGTGGCTGTTTGACCAACTGAGGTGAACGCTCGTCGGGGCTTTCTCCCAGCAGAGTTATAGCCCCTGATAACGCTAAGTGTTACTCTTTTTTCCTTCGCCGCTCCCTCCACGGATGTGGCTTCTTCAGAATTCGACGCCCGCATTCTTAGGTGTTCACTTTATTCCAAGTCTCGTGTTTCCACTTAGTACGAAACCCGAGGATGACCCTTCTCGACCTCAGCCGCCCTTCCTGCTGCGAAAGTTCTCGCTAATCGTATTTTTTGCTGTTTCAGGAGCGTGATCGAACATGGTGGGTTTGGTGATGGTGTTGGGCCTGTTGGGAGTGTTTCAATCTACTCAGGCGAACCTCGACAAAACGGCTCTTGAATCCAACCTGCTCAGGTTGCTGGGATTGAACCACAAGCCCAGGATCAACAGAGACAAACCTCCGGTCATACCAGAAGCCATGCTGCAGATGTACAGAGAGCAGACCGGACTCGACATAGATACATCTAATCTTCCTTTACCCGGCCGAATGACCCGATCGGCGAATACCGTCCGTAGTTTCGTTCATACAGGTAAAAACTATCAAATTACTCCATAATTGTATATTTTCCAACAGTAAAGCCGAAGTTTCATTAATTCACTTTCAAACATACATCAAAATTATATAAACTACGACTAGTGAGAATTATGACTGTTTTATACTGAATCTTCTGCAAAAAGATTAAATAATCTGCTCAAGGAGAAGAACCGCAAATAACTGGATTGATATATAAATAGGTTTTGCGCCTTTGATAATAGGAAGATTACGATTTTATAATTAATCTATTCTTGACTGAAACCGATATCAATACATTTACTCTAATGAATAACAACATCATTACTTTTGCGTTTTTGAAAATAGCACGTACAATACAGTACCTGTTACTTTTATTTACGCCATTTTAACATTGGCATTTAATTAGAACCAAAAACTGGCTATAAAGAGCTGAATACAATTTAAAAAATAAATTAACATATTATAATATTAAACAGATAAAATATACCATCCATTTTTGAGTAGAATTTTCACAGATTCTTTTAGATTTATTTACTGAATAACATTGGGTGGAAAATGTGCTAAATCATGCGATATGCGTGAATTACACAAGGACATCTTTATTACACTGGCACACCTGTCCTTCCCATTCTGGAGATTGCTTACACGATCTGGGCTTTACCGTGTTGGAATTGTTTTTGCAAATCGCCCACGTCCGGTCATAGGTCGTTAAGGACCGAATGCTTTCACCGGTTGCAGCTTATATAAAATAACGTTTATATTCATTAACTCAGATTTGGTATATCTGTTTTGTTTCCAGGTCAAGAGACGAGTAAGAGGAACGATAGGTTCCGTCTTCATTTCAACGTAAGCGACGTGCCGGCAGAAGAGAGGGTGACGGCGGCCGAGCTCAAAGTCTGGGTGGACGGTTCGGCAGGGAGAGTCGCGGTCCACGACATTATACGACCCGGGGTGAAAGGGAAGAGCAAGCCACTTTTGAGGCTGGTTGACTCGAAGGAGGTGACCGAGGACGGAGCTGTCGTCCTGGACGTGCTTCCTGCTGCAGAGCGATGGGCCGAAGAGACCGGTCACAATCACGGCCTCATCGTCCAGCTCTCTTCGCCCAAACTGGTCGCAAGGACGAAACGGTCCTTGAAAGAGCACTCCCTCCTCCTCTATCTGGACGACGGGAAGAACAAAGTCAAATCGCTGGAAGAGATGCTGTCGAGGAAGAAGAGGGCCCCTCCAGGGAAGAAGCACAGGAGAAAGGACGGGAGGGACATATGCCGTCGGCATTCACTTTACGTCAATTTCAAAGACGTCGGATGGGACGACTGGATCGTGGCACCGCCCGGCTACGAAGCGTACTACTGCCACGGCGACTGCCCGTTCCCCCTCGCGGACCACCTCAACTCCACCAACCACGCCATTGTACAGACTTTAGTTAATAGTGTCAGCCCCGCAAGGGTGCCAAAAGCCTGCTGCGTTCCGACTCAGCTCTCGTCCATTTCCATGCTCTATCTGGACGAAGAAAAAGTGGTACTGAAAAATTACCAAGACATGGCCGTCGTCGGCTGCGGGTGCAGATGAACTCTACTCCAAAACCTTGTGATATTGTAAAGCTGTATATTTTTGTAAATAGTGTATAGTGTAGATAGTTACAATGACGTCGTGACGAACGCTTATGGAAATGATAATTCATTCTGGGTAACGTTACCCAAACAGTCATAGTATTAATCTAGTACCTAGAATACGTTGGAGGTAATGTTGCAAACGTGATTTTTAGGGCATTTGTTTTGTATTTATTCCATTGTACAGTCATCGATTGGAAGTGATATATCGTCTAGAGTCGGATGGTGTTTTAGTTGCGCTCGATATTAGGATTTTGTTCTTTTCCATAGAACGAGTAGTATTAAAGTCATAGCTTTACGTAATTAAAAGGGAAGATCGAGTTTCAATTAAAATAAGCATTAAGCATACAATAATTGTATAATTCAATCCAGTTGACTTTAAATAGATCTGTATTCCGATTTTGAACACATCCTAACATATACAGCATTTTCGCTTTAAAAAAAAGTTGTTAATATTGTGCTTGTTTTTAAATTTTTAAACGATCTGTTAATTTGAATTTAATTGTTAGACCTTTTTACCATATTTATTTTTTAACCGAAAAGTCTTGTGGAATACGGGCTTTTCTTTATAATTGTTTTTCTTAGAAATACATAAGTAAATGTTTTAAAATATCTGTTTGTCTAATTTACCAGAGTGATAAAAAGTGTAAATATGTTAATACAAAAATTTTGTTAAATATATTTATTATTTAAGCAAAACGAACATTGTTTAAACGTTGTAAAATATAGTAGTGTAAAGTATGTATAATTTAGTCTTGAAATGTCTTTAAGTATCGAAAAAAACTCCATTTTTATTAAAATATATATATATTATTTTCAAATTATTTATTTGGATAGAAACATTTATTGTTATTTTACTTGCTGATAAGAGGCTATATTTACCTATGAGCTAGTATATTTTTAAAGATGTTTATGAAAACCCAAAACCGGCACATGTTAAAAATAAACATTTATATAATTTTACTCGTTGTACTTTCTTGTTTTATTCAATAGTCATTCAAAAATTTAGCTTTTATAGTTTAAAACAAAAATTAGCAAATGAAAATTACAGGGTACCGTTTTTGACAAGAACAATATTTTTGTAGTCGAGAAACTGGCCATACCGCAACAAAACGATGTCTTCCCAATAATAAATTGTCCATAAAAATGCATGTTTTTCATAAGTTGTGTTCCACATTGAACATTGAAAGAATCTTAAGAGATCTTGCAAAACTAATATACTTAATATTTAAAAAACAAACAGAATTTACAAATTTTATTTCAATTTAAAAAATAATATTGTCTATCATGACGTGTACCAATACGTATAAAAAATTCATAATAAAAACTGTACAATCATACATCAATTCCGACAAACTTCAAAATGAACTTTTTTTAAAAGTAAAAATCAGATATAAATGAAAAACAAATTATTGACACTTGTTTGATCAATACTGATCATCTCTGGTAATGAAGAACCGGCGATAATGGTATCCAAGTAGTGATAAACCGGCCGGGATCAGTATTGATAAAACTTCTGTCAAAATATAAATAAACAATCATATTTTTTTAATGTTTTATACTCTGATGTTATCAAATAGTAGGAGTGACGAATCTGAACTTTATACCAAACCAGATTATGAGTTTTAATTTAAACATGTTAAAAAACACAAACTAAAATAATTTTATTTTTTAACTGGCTTATTATTTTAATAAAGACTTTAAGAAACGTGTTTATAAAAATTAAATTAGAAAAATTATGTTTAAACAATAAAGAGTACTGTTTTGAAACAATTTCTCTCAATTTTATATTTTAAATCAAAAACATTCCGGCTTCCTATTAATACAAAATATTTGATAACAATATTCATTTCTTCAGTTCAATAATAAATTAAAGTTAATTAATCATGGGTTATTTAACAGTATTAGAAAAATGGAAAATGTTCAACGTTCAGTTGTTGGAAGACGTACAGGGCGATTAGGACTATGTATTTTCCTATTTCTAATTTATGGATTTATAGCAGGTAAAACTTTCAATTGCACTAATTAATTACTGCCCTGACTTCCCTTTTATTCCACCGCATATCTCAAACCTGTAATTTCGTCGAGGAACATTAATTTTAAAAGAGCGGTAAGCGCTTCAACTAAATCCGGTCAGTCATTCTTGACATGTTCCAACCCGTTATTATCAGCGACATTATTTTTATTAATTGAGCCAGATAACTTGAGCTCCTTCTTACTCTAAATCATTGAAACCCAGACCTTTGCCTTGAAAAATTCATTAATTGAACGATTAAATTGTCTTATGTACAAGGTACAAATTTCCTTAATAACCAAAACAACCAAATTGAACACCTAGGGACATAAATCTTATTTAGATCTGAAAACATTCAAACAAAATTTTTGAAATATGTATTTCAGGTTTCTTTTTTTGTTGGATTTGAACACTGAAAAGTGGATTATTTAACAGTGATTATAAATAACATTCTGACAAAGAGTCTAATTAATAAATGAACACTGGAAGTAGTAGTGGTAACAAGTAGCCAACGTTTCGACCTTTATTGAGATCATCTTCAGGGCCTGGAATTTATTTATAGGTTGAAGTACTAACAATGGTAGTAGTAGGGATAGTGGTGGTGGTTGTAGAAATAATAGAATTTGCAGCAGTATTAGTAATAACTAATCATGTCTGGTCTATTTCAAAGGTATTATTATATTATATCTATATTCAAAGTACATAATAGTATAAATAGTAGCGGTAGTGATAGAAGAAGAGCAATATTCGATAGGCCTATTAGAGGATGTTTGAAAAAGTCGCTCAGGGACTTGCCGAGGTTGCTCCTCACTCCCTTACAGACTTGAGGTCATCCCTGTCCATTACCTGCAGCCAATATGGATGAGTAGCGCAGCTATTTTAGCCACCCATTCAGTCACCTAACTTAACGGACCCTGGAAAACCGATGGGATTGTACAAATGGACCTGATTTAGTGGTGGTGGTTGCAGTACTTAATAAGGAAAATAGTAGCCGTAGTGATGGCGGAAGTAGAAGTAGCAATATTCGTTAGGTCAATTAGAGGATAATTGAAAAGTCGCTCAGGGACCTCGGTATTAAGAACATGTCGAGATTGTTCCTCACACCCTTACTGACTTGAGGTCGTCCCTGTCCATTGCCTACAGCCATATGGATCGGTAGCGCAGCTTTTTTAGCCTCCCATCCAGTCACCAAACTCCACGGACCATGGAAAACCGATGGGATTGTACGAATGGACCTGATCTGCTGACGAAGTAGGTTGTAGTAGTCTTGCCCGCACTACAGGATACGAACACCGGCAGAGACGGAAATAAGTTATATTTTTGTTTAAATAAATAGGAAAAAGTAGTAGTAGTGGTGGTAGTGGTTTTAGTAGTAGCTGTAGTTTTTGTTGGGATATTAACAGTAACTAATTATCTTTGGCCTTTTTAGAGTGTTGTAATTATGATTTGACCACCCTTTGAATTTGCGCACGCCTTGAACATTCATGAAAAAACTTATTTCTTTTTACTGTAGATTATATTGTTTTAAACCTTTTTCAAATTGAATATTTTGAGATTGAGAAATTTTAGATAGATTAGCAAACGATGAAATCAGAAAAAGGTCTTTGGCAAATTATATCAAAAACAATTTCAGTTTTACAGTGTTTAGTTTTACAATGGCAGAAACTGGACGTCTCCAGGGTGCTTTTGTTGAAGAGATGAAGGCGATAACTTTTTCACTTGGAACGGCAGTTGCACCCAATCCAGGTGCATGGTGTATGCTGGAAGCTCTTCTAGCCAAACAGTTTTTTTCCGTTCCCTTCCCTCTTAAGAGGTTAATATTTATTTACTGGCCTCTAAGCAGAAACTTCTATAGGAAAGCATGTTGGTTTACTAGTTGTAAAAAGTTGTAAACAGCGGCCACAAATCTTCACACCGCTTTGTTTTACCGTCATGCATATAATTTATTTTTTCTAACAAATGTTAGAAACAAAGAGTCTGAATAAAGGAATAATCTCACTTTATCAACCAAGATCGATTATTAAAGATAGTTTTCTGAGAATGATCGCAGGATCGACCCAATTAGCTTCTGGCTAGTTCTACCGTTTTGAAACATAATTCCACGAAAAGTTAAAAGATAGGCATTCTTATTTTGACATGTCTTCACGCTAAAGAGGATTTTGGACAGAAGGAGCACAAGTGGTAGATATGCTGAGTCAGACGGGAACAACCACACCTGTCGTCCTCCATATTCAGCCTCCAATCCTTTTGACAATTGCTAGTTTTAAAATAGAAACAAAAAAAACAAGACCCCCCGCAATAAACAAAAATTCTCACCTTAAGGGAAATAAATATATAATAGTAATTGACAAGAAAACTTGCTGTTTAAACAATCTCGTCAATAAGCAAAGCTTAAAAAAAAAAAGATTCCTTATTTTCTATAACTATTATAATGAAGTAGGCTCTAAGCAGCATCTTATTCTAATAATGATCACAAGAAAACTTCCTTCTTATTTGCTAAAAATGTATTTTTTGCTTGAAAAAATCTAAACTAGACACACAAAAATAAATTAAAAATTTTCAGGATAACTCTCTACAGAACTGTGTATGTATTACTTAAGATATTTATTGCTGGGACTAATTGTCTAAAATTATATCAAATTCAGTTCCAAACCCTTTGAAAAATTTTCTCATTAGCTTTTTATAACTAAATTTTTACAAATTCAAGAAACACAAAATGAAGTTTAGATGTTACTGAATATCTTCACGTCGTCTTCAATGAGGAACAGTTCAAACCACAAACCGGGAGAAAACGCGGACCCGGAATAAACTGATCAAAATCGTACATCCCTTAGTAGACACAGCACCACCAATTTTTTTAGTCTTGACACATCCATTATATTTAATCGAATTTTATCAAAATGATCACTTAGTTTTAGCAAACCAAGCAAACTGAAATTCCATTCTGATGTATTGTATGGCTTTTTATAGCACAGATTATGGACTTTTCATGAAGGCGTGAAAATCACCTACATGGATGGCGTTGCTGATCTTCCTACCAATATTTCAGATCTATCAATAATCAATCTATATCCGTCTTTCTCTTTCTCTCTCTCTCTCTCTCGCTCTCTATGTGTACCTATCTATCCCTCTACCAATCTATATTTTATCTATATAACTATCCATCTATCCGTCTACCAATCTATATTTTATCTATATGTNATCTATCTATCTATCTATCTATCTATCTATCTATCTATATATCTATCTATCTATATATCTATCTATCTACTATCTATCTATCTATCTCTCTATCTATCTATCTATCTCTATCTATCTATCTCTATCTGTCTATCTATCTTTCGTTCTCCCTCTCTCTGCAATAGAAGGTTAAACGGTTTATTTATTTATTAAATAATAATAAATAAATAAACAGATAGAGAAAGAGATTAATAGATATTTAAATAGATAGATAGATAAATCTTGGGTGATTGTACATCAAGAAATAACATCTTTTGTAAAACTGCTAGATGGTTTGTAAAATATGGAAATTTGGTGAACACCAATTTGATAAATTACCTTTTTTTAACAATCATTATGGGGAGGCTTATCTCCCGTCTATCACGAGGATTATCCTAATATGGGTTTGTGTGAAAGAATTTTGGTGGATGAATGTAATATATTAGCGTGAATGGGAAAGCTTATCCCCAATTACACCAAGGAATATCGATTGCTCTGGGGTAGGGTGAATGTAATTTATTAGCGTGAATGGTAGGTCTTAGCCCGAAATTACCCCGCGGGATATCGAGTATTTTACGGTAGTACGATTGAAGTCTAAGTGTGACTATAATTTATTAGCGCGAATGGAGGGGCCTATCCCCCAATACCCCGAGGGATATAGTACTCTGGTTTGCTAATTAGACTATCATGTTTCTGTGTATTTGCGTTATTTTATACACAAATGATAAAG